TTCTTCTTCTTCTTCTTCTTCTTCTTCTTCTTCTTCTTCTTCTTCTTCTTCTTCTTCTTCTTCTTCTTCTTCTTCTTCTTCTTCTTCTTCTTGGCCATATCAGGCCTAGGCTTTTATGTATACTCCCTGTGAATGCTACTGAACAGGTAAGGAAACTGAGGCTGAGAGAGCTGGAGTGAGCTGACCCAAGTCATGTAGGGTCTTCTGAGCCTCTGCATTATAGGCTTCCTCCATATTGTAGCTCTCCTAGAGGCTTGGGCCCTCTACACCTGCCCTGGCCAATATTGTGGTCATCAGCCATTTGGGGCTACTTATATTTTAAATTTGAACTAAATGAAATTGAAAACTTAGTTCCTCTTGGAAGGTGGAAGGAGGAGGGTTGCAAGCTGGAGGTTAGCCTGGGCTGTATAGTGAAACTGTCCTAAAACACTCAAAGAAACAAAGCAAAAAGCAAGGAGAACTCAGTTCTTCAGCTCTGCTAGCTACAGGTCAAGTGCTTATAATCACGTTTCTGGCATTTGCCACACTGGTTGGCTCAGATGGGGATTGCCTTTCTGTCACCACAGAGTTCTGTGGACAGTACTGGTCTAGACCGTGGAAGTGGTCAGGTCTTAGCACTACTTGAATGTCAATGCTCATTAACAGATGTGGCGCTGAGGACAAGGTCATTAGCAGAGTGCTTGGATGTTAGATGGCAGCATTCCTTCTCAATTTCCAGAACTGATGAGCTGGAGGCAGAAGGATCAGGAGTTCAAGGCTAGTTTTCTCTATGTAGCAAGGTTGAGGCCAGCCTGATCTGTGGGTGAGGCTGTTCAAAAACAATGACAGCAACAACAACAACAACCAAAAAACCAAACAGGAGTAAAGCATGGCAGTGCACACCTTTAATCCTAGCATTCAGCAGGAAGAGGTGGGTGGATTTCTGTCTGTGAGTTCAAGATCAGCCTGCTCTATGACAGCCCAAATTCAGCCCCTGGAAGCCACATGGTAGAAGGAGAGACCGGACTCCTGAAAGAAGTCCTCTGACCTCCACATACGCTTTTGGTTTGCCCTTACTCACCCACATAGACACATACCAATATATAATAAATGAATACAATAAACAAACAACAACAAAAAAGTGGAAGTGAAAACCTAGGCTCTTTGGCTGGTTGTGGTGGTCCATGCTTTTAATCCTAACACTTAGGAAGCAGAAGCAAGTGGATCTCTGCGTTCAAGGCCAGCCTGGTCTACATAGCTAGTTACAGGACAGCCAGGGCTACACAGTCAGGCAAAACAAAAAACTACTAGTCTCTCACTTACTCCCAATTCAGCGTACTCTCCACTGAAGTCAACTGACGCCTGTGTCTTAGTTCAGGCTTGGTAAGGGTCCCTATGAGAAAATACAATACTAAACTAAATCTAAAGATAATTTCCTAAATGAAAGCAATACTTCAACACACATATAACAGCAGTTGATATTCATATTATGTATGTAATAAGCCACTACAAATAAATAAGAAAATATTATCTCAGTTTAGAAATAGACAATGGAGCCAAGGGTACCAGAGAAACCTTGTCACAAACAAACAAACAAATAGACAATTCAAATAGACAAAAGCTTTAAAAAATAGAAAAATACATTGAAGAGAGATAGGTAAGCAGAATAATGCAGCTTTTCTTGCTTGTTTATCCCAGCAGGTTAGAAGAGCTGTGGAAATGTGCGTGGTTTTGTGCATTGGTGGGACATGTCCATGGCATTGTGTCCAGCCTTAGTGGGCAGCTTGGGGCGTCGCTCAGCAGTAAATTTGCAAACACCCTTTGAGTCAGTAAGCCTTGGGCCCAACACAGGATGGCTGACTCCAGATCTCGTGCTATGAACCATGACTCTTCTGTGAGTCCAGCTTGGGCTGGAAAGGACAGAGTTGGCAGATTATCCAAACGACTGTGGACTTGGCCGTGGGAGGCTTAAGCAGGATGGATTGCTGTGGGCGAGTTCTTTGGAGTCTTTATCTTTTTGTGTGGCTGGCTCGGATGACAGCAAGGAGCCCAGGACAAATCAATATGTCCTTGGTCAGCTGCTTTGGTGGCTCGGCTGCCATTCCGGTTCTGCAAATAATTGGAGCCCAGTCACCGGTGAATCAGCACTGACTGCCCTTGGCAAGCTGGACCAGGAAGGCTGCTTGGCACAGCATGGCTGTGTGAACAAGGCTCTGTGTTGGGGGTCAGGTGACAGAGAGCCCGGGCCAGCTGGGTAGTCTATGATCAAGGATATTTGGGCAAGTAACATTTACAATACCTACCTTACTCTCTCTTGTGTCTGGTTCTCTTTTGATCGTTCCCTTCCCACTTCTGGCTCTCCATTTCTTTGTTTCAATTAATGTGGCCAGGGTTTTATTCTAAGCCCTGGGCAGGGGAGAGCAAACAGAACCTTAGGCTCTTGTTTTCTGTGCATGTGGGTGTTCGTTACCATGAAGACACAGAGTCAGGAGCAGGCACTGATTCAGAGCGGGAAGGATGAGGTATGGATATGTGGGCTAGCACCAGATACTGAGTTAAACCTAACTCAGATGGGCAGTAAGGGTCTGATGGAGGTGGGTAGAGGGTCAGAGCAGTTGCTTCTAAAACAGGCTAAGCGCCAGGCTAAGAGCTTGGCTTCATATCAGGAGAAAGAAATGTAGAGGGACTCTTGTTTATGATATTCTTGTAGTTAATATTGTTCAATGGCAAAAAAGAATTCAGGTGCAGGGAATATAGCTCAGTTATAGGGTGCTTGCTTAGCATATAGAGTCATGGGCTCCAGTCCCCAGCACTGAGCAAAATGGACATGGTGTTACATGCCTGTCCTTGAAGAGCTTGGGGGGTAGAGACAGGAAGATCAGAAGTTCAAGGTCATCTTTGGCTAGATAGCAAGTCTGAGGGCAGCTGATGCTGTAGGGGGGGTCCTGTCTCCAACAACAACAAATCTAACTCATTCTATTACAGGAATCAAACAAGAGCCAGGAGAGTTTTCCTTTAGTGAACTGTGTGTGTGTGCGGTGCTGGAACTCTACCTCCATGCCCTTTGTAAACGTGAGGTAATGCTCCCCCCCATGCCCTGCCCCCACCCAGAAGAGCCGTGATCACTCCAGCAAACATCTTTCCAAAGCCTTGCCTCAGATGGAAGCTTCCGCAAACAACCCCTTTGGGTGTATCCCTCCAAGATTCTTTTCTATGCCCACATAAACAGCTCTTGCTTTTCTTCACAAAAACAAGCTTGTCCTTCACACATTGTTCTGTGAGAATCGTGGCCACCTTCCACCTTAACAGTCTTTCAGGAGCCCATTAATGCCACCTGCCTTCACAGGACATCCTGAGGGCCCAGGATGGAGTAGGGGACACACAGTCCTTGTCCTGCGTGCCTCCCTCATTCTCCCAGTATCTCCCTCTGATACATGGGGTGCAGGGCTGCCTCATGGTGTAGCACCGGCAGGCCCGGAACTCATTATGTATGAAAGTCAGGCTAGTCTGTGTATGTGCCTTCCCATGCACATGGAAATATTACAGTCGGGTCATTTGTAAAAAGCAATTTTGAGAGCTGGGTGTTGCGACACGTTTATAACCCCAGCACCGTGGGTGCTGAGGCAAGAGGACTGCTCTCAGTTTGAGGACACACTGGGCTACTTAGCAAGTACAAGGCCAGTAGGGCTGCATAGTGTGACCCCTATCTCAAACAAAAGGAATTCTGCACACACACACAAAAAGGTTTTGATGCGGGGTCCTGTTTGTTGGCTAGGCTGGTGTGGAACTCTTGGAGCAATTTCTGCTTCAGCTTCCACAGTGACTAGAACTGTACACATTGAATTATTAAATTAAAAAAGTGTGTGTGTGTGTGTGTGTGTGTGTGTGTGTGTGTGTAGGAGCATGCATGCCATGGCATGCTTGTGGATTTCAGAGGACAGCTTTCAGGAGTGTGTCTCTCCTACCATCATGGGGTCTGGGGTTCAAACTCAGGAAGCACTTTTACCTGCTGAACAATCGCTCTAGTCCAATGAAGCTTTATCATTCTGTATGGTTATTCTGATGAGTGGAAGCAGTGATTCATGTAACCACCCACGCACCTGTCCACACACCCATCCATGCATGTGCCCGCTCGCGTATCTGTCCACTATGTACCCATCCCATTCTCTCTTCACATGTACATACATTTGATCACAGTTTTGAAACATGTATTCTGTGTCAGGCTTTGAACTAGATAAAAGGACCCTGTGGGTGAAGTGTCTGACTCTGTACTTCCTGCTCTAATGGGACAGAGCTGTCAACAGCATCACAGAGTATAGGCATGGCCAGAGACGGTCAGTTTGCTTTCTTCTGCTGTGATGAAGACCATAACCAAAACCAATTTGGGCAGGAAGGGCTTGTTTGGCTTACACTTCACAAGCCACAGCAAGAACTTGAGCAGAATAGGAACCTGGGACAGAGGCCGTGGAGGAGCGCTGCTTCCCGGCTTGAGCCCCTTGGCTTCCTCAACCGGTTTCCTTCTACCATCCAGCACCACCCACAAAAGGGTGGGGCCTCCACATCAATCACTAATGGAGAAAATGCCCTACAGACCTGTCCACAAGCCAGCCTGATGGAGGCATTTTCTCAATCGAGGGTCTGTCTTCCCAGATAACTCTAGCTTATGTCAAAAATCTCACCCAGCACAGAAGGAAAAGGCTCTCTATGGTGCCCTGATTTCTCTGGTTGCCCTTCTGTTCTGAAGGATGAGGTCACATGATATTTCTTCATTCTTGTCTACTCCTTTCCCATGCCTAAACCCTTGCTGACTTTCACTTAACTCTAACCAACAACACTGCAAGCCAGGCAGTGGTGGTGCACAGAGGCAGGTGGATCGCTGTGAGTTCGTGGCCAGCCTGGTCTCTAAAACGAGTCCAGGACAGCCAAGGCTACACAGAGAAACCCTGCCTTGAAAAACCAAAACCAAACCATTGAGGCTATTGAACAGGTAGAAAACTCTCAACTCTTGACCAGGACTTTGAGTAACTTTAAAATTTTATTTGGGGGACTGAAGAGATGGCTCAGTGGTCAAGAGCACTGGCTGCTTTTCCAGAGGACCTGGGTTTAATACTTAGCTCCTGCATGGTAGCTCGTAGCCATCTGTAATTTCTGTTTCAGGTGATCCAACATGCTCTTCTGGGCTCTTTAGGCACCAGGCATGAATGTGGTGCACAGATGTACATGCAGACAAAACACACCAATACATGAAAAAAATATCTATTGTATTTGATAATCACTTATAGAGGAAGAGCCACACAGCTTTGTAAGTCTGCCTACCTGGCCCTTTTCATATTATCTGCTCTCTAAGCATGCTTATCTAAAGATCCCCTTTCCACTCTGTGGCTGCTGTAGGACACGTGGCTGACCTCCATGTCAGCCTAACTCAAGGCATGGCATTTTCTCTCTTTCACGTGTCTTTCTCTTCCAGGCAGTTCTGAAGATCTGCAGCTTGACACTTCCAGTTTTCCTTTTACTCACTAACGGGACAACTTTTAGGAGTGAGTTTTGTTTCTTCATGATGGGTTCTAGGGATTAAACTCAGGTTGTCAGCCTTACATACAGCAAGTGAGTGCCTCTATGGCTCTACCATCTCTCTACCCTCTCTACCCACAGCGAATGAATATTAACAGTGCTGCAATAACTATCGATCAGTACTTCCTCTGAAGGGTCCTCTTTCTCTTCCCATCATACCGTCTCTGCATAGGACTGGCTTCAGACTCCTGTCTGTGTCCCTGGGGCTTGCTACTTAGTCCTGGCCAGCCTGGAAATTGCTATATAGATGAGGGTGACCTCCAACTTGTGGCAATGCTCTCGCCCTCTTTGTACTTCAATGACAGAAGTCACAGAGTCCCCTAAATATGCAAACTTATAACCCCAGTTTATCATGTGCCTGGGTCCCCTGAATTACTGAGTCTCAACTGAGATGACACCTCTGAAGTACCTACCCCTTAAGCACTGCACCTGAATCAGAACTTTGGTTCAAACAATCTCCCTAGATCTTTCCCCCAAGACTATTCGTCCAAGCTTGGCGTCAGTTAGGTTCCTTATTCATCTGATCAAGGCCTCAGCGAGCTAGGGTGGTAAAGGGGTAGCTTCTGGGACACTGGAGGAATGTGAGCTGCTGGCAGGAGATTCCCACAGATACTTTCTCAGATCCCCTTGTCTCTCTAGTTCTGAGTCTTTCATAGGCACAATGTTCTAGAAAAGCTGCAAGGGAAGAAATGATAGCTTAGAGGTAGAGAAATTGAAGGTGTCTCCTTTGACGTTCCTTTCCTCCCCTGCCCTCTTCTTTTGCAATAGGATTGGCCTTGCTGGGATCCTCTAGCTTCAGTCCCCTGGGTCCTGGGATTTTCACGTGTCTCCACACTTGGCAGGAGTGAAGGTCTTTCTTTAAACCTAAACTCATGTCAGTAGCCCAGTGACTTCGGGAGGTCACTGGATTTACTTGTTCCATTTCCCAATGTGACAATAAAGCTACTTTTCACTCTTGTTTCTTTTACTGGAGTATCTTTTTAAAAAATAACTTTATTTTTATTTTATGTACACTGGGTTTCTGCTTGCTTGTGTGTGTGTGTGTGAGGTTGTCGGATCCCCTGGAGCTGGAGTTATAGACAGTTGTGAGCCACCATGTGGTTGCTGGGAATTAAACCCAGGTCCTTTGGAAGAGCAGCCAGTGCTCTTAACTACTGACCTGGACTCTCTAGCCCCTTTACTGAGTATCGAGGGCAGCCAAGCCTAACCTCTTTTGGAAGAAGCTCTTCAACGTCCTTTTCTGTGCATGCAAAGCTTCACCCAAGCTTGTGTGCCACAAACTGCCAATGGTATGCTGACTAGATTTTGAGCTCGGTACTGTTGGCTCCAAAGCACATAGTCCTCACTGTATCACACGGAATACCCCACTGCCATCTGTAGAGCCTACGCTTCAGTTATCACAAGCTGAGCACCCACCTTGTTAGCCCTGGCTGTCCTGGAACTCACTCTGTAGACCAGGCTGGCCTTGAACCATAGCCAGGATTCTAACTAGAGTTTGTATCACACCAAATCTTGCATCCTATTCTGGTATCACACTTTTTATACCATCTGGGAAGTGAGAAGGGCACTTCCTGGGTTCCTAGCCTTTAGGCTGCACAGAGAGAAATGGAGCTAAGCCTGGTGGCAAAGCTGAGTTTACTTTCTGTTGGAGTGGCCGGAGGTTACACACAGTTGAGGACCCAGTTAGGCCTCCTGATATCCTTGGCTGACTTCTTGGATATCCTATCTTTCTTGGAGGATGGCCTTGGGGGAAAGATTGAGAGTCCAGCCAAAGAATTTAAATCCTCTAGGCCAAGTATAGTGGAAGTACAAGCCTGTAACCCTGCAGCTTAATCAATAAAGGCAGAAGGATCATCCCTAGCCACACAGTCAGTTTGAGGCCAACCAGGGCTAAAGACATGGGGCATGGAGATACCATGTCTAACAAAGAAACAACAACAACAACAAAAACAAACAAACAAAAAACAACAAAAAGCTGAGCTGGTAGGAAGACGCTGCAGGTAAAATGTAAAAGTACTTGCTGCTAAGTCTGATGACTTAGTTCAATCTCTAGGACCCACACGGTAGAAGGAGAGAACATAAGTTATTCTGTCCTCCACGGCACTGTGTCACATGTGCCCACTCACATAAATGCATTTTTTAAAACACAAAGCCTTAGGCCGCTACCTCCCCACTTGTAAAAGGAGATACCTAGCTACATCAGAGAGGGCTGGATTGTGTTTTCTACATAATGGGACAATTAAGAGAGGCACAGACTGCCACCTGCTACTGAAATGCAAGCTCAGAAATGCAAGTTTACATTCACATGTCCAAACATGATGTCAAATTCTGCAGGGAATTTGCATCTTGACTGCCAATCAACCCATCTCTCTTTATTCTTCCCCACTGAAGTCCTGCAGGCCTTATCTCCTGTCTGGATGGTCTCTCACTCACCCATTCCCCATCTTCTTTCCAAGTTACTTGAGGCCAGAAAAAGCAAGTCACTAGCTCAAAAAAACAAAAACAAACAAAAAAACAGATGATGGCTCCCTCTTTGCTCTGGTCTAAAACTTGGCTGTGCCAGACTCTAGCCTGACCTGCTTTTCTATCAAGTTAGAATGTGTGCAGGGGTGCTCAAAACTTTGTGAGTGCCACGCTGTCTAGTCAACAGGCCTCTGGTGGCTGCCTCTGCCTGTACCGAGGCTTGGACCCTTCCTTTGAGTTTCCTTCCCAATCCAAAGCGCACGTCTCCTCTGACCTCCCCAGCCCTTCAGCAGACCATAGCTTCCTCTGTGGTCCAGTCTTCCCACTGGGTGCTTGGCTGACTGGGGGCAGAGCCCCTAAACACTGGCGGGCGGAGAAAAAGAATTACAGAATGCCGACGGCTTGGAGAATACGAGGCTCCCCAAAGCGTCCCCTGTTGTAACTATCCAAGAAACCGAAGAACAAAAGCCTTAGATAACAGCCTGGAACGAGGCAAGCTGCCTCACAGGGCTGCAGGGCTGCAAGGGATTTTCACAAGCGGCAACGCCAGGGCAGACCCTTGTCACAGAGGGGAGAAAGACCTGCGAGTGTCGTTTTCCTGAAACGGGGGCTCACTACCTCATCAGCCTGCTTCAGTGCTTAACGAGCTCGGCTCTTGGCGGGACCCAGCAAGTGGTCCCAGCCCTAGTTTTCAAACTGTTTCTCCTAGTCATTGTTTCTTGGGCTCGTGCTCTCCTCCCGTTCTAGCCCGCGCCGGCCCCCCACCCCGCGACCTCCCACCGCTTCTCCAGGCCCCTAGACCCCTCCCCACCGCGCTTCTCGAGGAGGCGGGTCCAGCCACGCGAGCGCTCCAACCCGAGCGCCCTGAACCGGCTCTGCCTCCGCGAGCCCCGCCCTACGCCCTCACCCAGCCAATAAAAATCCGCGCTCATCCAGTCGGGCCGCCCAATCGCAGGTTGGCTGTGAGCCTCGGGCGCCCCGCCCCTGCCGCGCTCGGCCGCGGCTCCGCGGGCGGTCGCGTTGGGGCTTCGGCGTTCTCCGAGCAGTGCCGAGCTGCGCCTGGCTCGGTCGGCTGCGTCCGGAGGTGCGGGCGACGGCGCCGCTGTCCTCCCGGGACTGAACGAGGCAGAGGCCACTCGGCCGGTTCGGAAGGCGCCTCAGACTCCGTCAGGGCAGGCGCGGCGTGCGTCCCAGGACCGAGCCGGAGGCCGCCCGGCAGCGCCTCCCGAAGCGGTCTCCGCGGAGCCCGGGCGGTCACTGAAAGTGGCTTCCGCTTCCCGCGGCCTCACCTGCGCAGACCGCGGCGCGCCAGGTGCGGAGGCGTGTGCGTCGCCCGGGCGCCTCCCTCTGCCGCCAGCGGGGCGGGGGCGGGGCCGCAGCCCGGGCCTCCCGCGGCTCGCCTGGCGGTCTCAGTCTCACCGGTCTGCCGGGCCCCGCGGCTCGGGATGCTGCTGCCAGCCCTCGAGCCGCCCTCCACGCCTGCCCCCGCCGCCGGGGCCGCACCTCGCTGTTTACATGTCGGTGGAGCCCGGGTCCCCCGAGGGTGAAAGCAGCCGGACTGATTCCTCAGACCCGGGGCTCCGGACTCAGAACCTCTACTGCCCCGCAGCCTCTGCCGCCATCTGGACTGGATCCGGCTCTGGTGTTTTTTGAGGGGGGGGGGTGTGGTGTCGGGAAAGGAATCCTGGGGATTTCTAGGATCCCCCTCTTCTTTTTCTTTTTTGGCCCTGCGGGCTTCATACTCAGGGAATTCGCTCATGGCTTTTTTGATGAAGAAGAAGAAATTCAAATTCCAAACCACTTTCACCCTGGAGGAGCTGACTGCGGTCCCCTTCGTGAACGGGGTCCTCTTTTGCAAGGTCCGGCTGCTGGATGGCGGGGACTTTGTCAGCTTGTCGTCCAGGTAGGCATGTAGGCTCATTCGTAGGGGAGGGTGGGGAATGCTGATGAGTCCAGGCACTTGGCAAATGTAGAAGCCTCAGCTGAGGACGGAAAAGAGGCCCGTCTGGGGAAAGACTTGGGTTCGAGTGAGCTGGCAGAGTGCCAGGCACTTGTCTGCAGGTGACTATCCAGAAACCTTTTTAGGGCCTGCGTGCATTTTCCAAGTCACCCGTTTAGCAAACTTGCATGGAGAGAGCTGAATGAGATTTGCACCTTGAGGGAGTAAGTAGGGGTGGCCCAGGCCATCTTGCCACCAAGCTGGCTCTTGTGGCTGTCATATGATTGAGAGCTTGGTTCAGCCACAGGTTCTCTGGCAGCCAGTCTCCTCTTGGCTGGGAAAGCCCAGTCCCAGGCACTCCCTGGATTTGATTGAGGGTGGTGCCTGGATTTTGGGTTGCCCAGCCCCCTCTGAGTGACTGCCCTTTACTGGCTGAAGCTGGGCTGCTTTGCATTGCAAATATCCTTGCCAGGAGACTGCCCTCCTCTGAAAAAAAAAGCTCTAGAGTTTGGTTTTGTGTGGTTCACCATCCTGGTAGGTCCAGCTTCCCAGCTTATTGTTTGTTGACTGAGATGGAGTTCCCAGTCTGTCCTTTGCAGATTGAGCTCATGGGGGGGGGGGGGGGGGTGTCACACGGTCCTGGCTTGCCTGCAGAGGTCCTTGGAGTCCAATTGATGGAGAAGGGAGTCTGTCTCTTTCTGGGTTCCTGTTCCCTCTTCTGCACCTAATACAGGTTTCTCCATCAGAGTCATTGCAGAAGTTGCAGTAGATAGGGCCCTGGCCCAGGGCCTGGAATGCTTCTCTCACCTAGTCTTTCCTTGCTCCTTTGGTCTTGTGGGCCTAGTTAGCTGGGACTGTCTCACTAGTCTAAGGTTTTCATAGGTGTGTTTTACAGATTGGGATAATGCGCCCCAGAAAGACTGTCTCACTAGTCTAAGGTTTCATAGGTGTGTTTTACAGATTGGGATAATGCGCCCCAGAAAGAGGAAGTAAATGGGTTGCCAGGGACTTTGCCAGAAGCAGTTGTCCACCAGACTTGGCCTGTTGGGAGACCTGTTGGGAGAAGAGAAGCTATATGGTCTGATTCAGATTTTGGAACCTGTGTGTAGAGTGAGGTGCCTGTTCTGTCCACTGGGCCTCCGGTTCTGCTCTGAGCTGCTTATCTGAGGAATTTGGAAAAGGGCTGCCCTTTGTGGTGGGGGTGGCTGCAACCCGCTGCCTGTGAAGCCTGGAATCCCTACCGGTACCCCTCCTAACAGCACAGTGTCAGAGGGTTGTGCCCATCAATGGACCTGGAACCAGCCACTTTTAGGCTAAGTGGCTTTGGGTGAATTACCCAGTCTCGCTGATCTCAAGAGCTAGCAATTATTGGTGCTCTGTTTGCTGTTTTACTAGCACCTTTCAACCCCCTGACTATGCC